TAGTGTTTGTCTAAGGTTATGAGCCCACATAAGGTTGATATTGTGCAAAAGAAATCCAGTGAGAAGCTTCCTAAGTTTCACATTAATCTACATAGCAGCAGTGGATGTAGGGTACTATATGGCCTAACAGTGTTTGTATGCTCTAGTTTGAATTCAAGCAATTTATGATGCTTAAAAAGGTTTGTTCTACATTTCTATGCTACTTGTTTGCGATCTAAACATACAAAGAAACTAGAGATTTGATAACTGAAGATACTTTATTTATAATTCAACTAGGCACACATAAGAGTACTCCATACATAATCACATTGCATCCAAGCATACACTAGTTGACCAGCTCAGTAATTTGCATGGATAGGATGAACACACACAACAACAAAATATCATCCTAAGTGAAGTAATTACTTCATGACTATTTTTGATAATTTCCTCTTTTTCCCACAAAGGGCATCATCTATGCCTACACTTTACATCTTCTTGGATTGTGCACCATTGCCATCCATCCTCAACTCATCTTGCCCTCCTCCGAATACTTCATTGCCTAGATTCCCTTCTCTCCTCAACTTTTTGAGGAAAGTAGCATACTCACCTTCTCAGTCATAGAATGCACAATCAACACCATTGTGCTACAATATAATAGCAACAAGATCAATAAGAAATCAAGAGACTTAACCACTCATGCTGCACATCATCATCTCAAACCCTAACTCTCACCTTGCGCTAGGATCCATGTTTTGGTCGGCAAGGCATCAAACCACCTTCCTAACTCAATCCATGCAAGTAATGAGTGGTAACTCACCCACGCCATGCCTATTTCATCCACATGCACTTGATTCAACAACCATGGTTTTGATCCTCGTTGGTGGCCACGTCGTAGATGGAGCAAGAGGCTGCGGAGAGATTGGGAACGATCTGAAAGGAGAGATAGCATTATTGTTAGGGATAGGAAGGGTACTCGATTTATTACGATGCTATGGGACAAATTGCAAATTTCCATCTACAATTGTGCTTCAAATATCCTGCATGGATTGAGTAGGATCTAGTGTGGTTGTCCACGTAGCAACTGGAGAGGGTCTAGGGATGTTTTGGACCTCTGCTAACACGCTTAAATAGATTAGGGGGTTCAATACTCATTTTAAGAGTTCACGGACCTAAACAGACTGGACCAACTAGTTTAAGGACCTACCATGCACTTTACTCTTAGTTAATCTAGTTGTCATACCGAAACATGTACACTTTTGAATAGTATGACATGCACACCATGATTCATCTTTATAAAGTTATTCTTGTATGATGATGTCCCAATAGAAATGTTTATGGGATAGCGAATATTTGAATTCTAGTATATGTATCCTTTAGTGAAGTGATGTATAAAACCAAACTAAAGTTTAGGAACAAATTAAGTTTTTGACTAGACTTGATGTGAGATTGAACTTCAAAAGCTTCAAGTGAGTTTTATACAATCTTTTAAGCTCAAAAGGGAGGTTTTTTTACTTTAAGTTCTATACCACCGTTGACTATAATAAAATATGTGCGGACACGTTTTGAATCTAAGTAGAAATCTCAAGCAACATTTTTACATTGGCAAATCTTTTGTAAGAATAAGGGCAAATACCCACCTACACACTATATCAGTTGTTAGATCAGTACTAAGAGCCACTTTTCATCCCATCCCTCCGATAACATGGCTTAATCTCAGGCTTTGGTGTAGCCAATCTGATAGCTAATAGTGAGCCACGTCATAGGACCGAGTGGGCACAAGGAACTCTCCAGAAACTCCGAGACCCTATTTCTGTCATAAAACAACTTAACAAATAGACTCAAATTGAAACCGAAAACTACCATTGGATATTTCTAATACATCATGACACATGTGAGAGTGTTTAGACATGCTTGTAGCATTGTGTATGTTGGGTGATGCCTAATTGGAAGTTTCATGGTCGTTGCTTATTAGCTAATCACTAGGGTTTGAAAAGGACAGGTTTTATATATTCCATGGAATCTATTGTCCAGATTTGTTACTTAAAGTTTCCTTAAAATAAACCAACTGCTTGCAACTACCCTACAACTAACTCCAACAAGATAGGCGAATAATTTATCCTCTTATTAAGTATACATCATCATATAGTAAAGTTGTAAGATGCTAATCAACATGTAGCTCAGTTAAGTCACTTGCGTATTTGTTTTTACGAATTAACTAATTCATCAAGCCACTGACTCCCATCTAGATACATTTTCATCTTGCGTGCGCCACTGCATCGAACTCGACATTAAGACTTTTCATACTCAAATTCTCAACCTGATAATTGAAAAATAAGTAGAAAAATGCAAATTATTGTTTGTGAATCATAACATGAATGGAATAGGACAGCTCAGTAGATTAACGACAACTTGACATCATCGTCGTTGTAGCTAGGTAGCGACCCCACGCCTTCATTAATTTGTTTGAATATCATCAGTAACCATATACGATGCTCTTGCCACTTGCTGTTATATTGATGGAGGAGTTTCCACAGCTATTTCTTCCCATCTCTATCTGTAAAGAATAATGTGTTGGAACTAGTGATATATATATATATATATATATATATATATTGTAGCGATCAAGGAACATACCCACACCGTTATCTGTACCTTTTTTCTTATCTCATCCAATCTGACAGAAAGGATGGAAAGGGGAGAAAAAGAAAGAAAAGAAAATGATAGAACTACTAAAAGTCAATAAGGCAACAAAATAAACAATATGTAGCTTTTGCAAGTGATGAATCGTTACTATATAAAACCATGCAAAAGGTAATTAACAAAGATCTCTTCCTGATACTTTATGTGCTCCCTAATCATCACCTAATAATGGCTGGGGTCATTTGGGCGATTAACAAACAGACATGATGAGGAATCTTGGCCAATTAGTCAACAGAAAGAATGATCGGCGATATATATATATATATTGCTGCCTACTCCTATGTATGTGTATGTATGTTTGTATATATCATCATCATACATATTCCTATCAGCTGAATTCTGAATTCTGAAATCCTGAAGGTAACAGATGCTGTCTCTTCCTTGTCATCTTGCACGGAAGGTAAAGGGCATGGCATGCCTGGGCCGATACGTTACAGGAAAGCTTGCAGGCGTGCATTCTTTTTTGGGAAGCTGCTGCTAGGTGGGACGCAATTATCACCAAAACATTTTATTGACAGGGCGTCACCCCCTTTGGCCCATATTTTTCTGCCTTGTAATTTGACTTGCTACAAACTCTAATATATTAAATGCAAGCAAATAATATTTTTTATTAATATTTTCTACTCCAAAAAACAAAATTAAATTCTGATAGTTAGGAGTTGTGATGTGTCACCCACTAGTTAGCAATATATAACATGTTAGCGCCGGCTTCCCAGTTTCTGCAATATAATAGCGACACGCAACATATATGCATGTGTGTCGTAGCTTGAACCATGCATATATATGATATTTATATGTATATGTATGTATGCTAGTCTACTTCTTGATTCATCTAATCAAGCAAAGCATGACTGTCTGTCTCCAGTATACATATGGAGCTGATGCATTTAGCAAATAAACAAATTTGCAAAGAAGTACTCACAACATGGCTCCCTGCAGCAGAACATTTAATAGAGGTTGATTTATGGCATACATACAACTATGCAGGGGGCCGGGAGCAGATAATTCATCAATCACAGACCAGTTGATTTATGGCATTTAATTTACAGGTCAAACGTACTGTCAAAGCAAAGGAACTCTCTTAATTTCCATCACACGCTAAGTCCACTGAGAATTACTACTATTTCCAGGGGCCTGAACTGTAGACACGTGCTCTTTTCATCTCAAATTATAAGTTGTTGTCGGTTTTCCTACGTACATATATTTTTACTTTACGTTGGATACGCCAAATTGTGTGCTACATATAAAGTATGTCTAGATGTGCGGAAAAAACTATGTGTATCTAAAATGGTTAAAACAACCTACGATTCGTAACAGAGGAAAGTGCTTGGTTTTAACTTGTGTGCGTGCATGCAAGTGCATATTACAATTTGGATGGTTTTAACTTGTGTGCGTGCATGTAAGTACATACTATTACATACTGATCTGCCCTGACATGCATTATTATATATTATATATTATATATATAACAAATTTTAAACACAGGGCAGCGTCGTCCATAGTCGTCCATAGGATAGCAGCAGAGAAAGCACCAATTATTTATGCCCCCAAGCGGGCAGGACAGCCACCCACATTGCCCCTTCTTTCCCTTCCCCCTGTATACATATATACATATATACACCTCAAACCCCTCCCTGCGAGACAGCCTCCCCTCCCCTCCCAAAAAATCTCAATCGGCCTGGCCTGGGCTGCCACTGCCACATACAGGAACAGTCGCCAGGCCCCAGTCCACCTCTCGTCTCTCCTCCTCCTCTGCTTCTTTCTCTTTCTAGAGAGAGAAGGAAAAGAAGCAGAAAAAGGAGGGGACAATAACTCGAGAGGGAGAGGCACACTGTTGTGCTGTGTGCTGCAGTAGTGAAGAAGCAGAAGCGAAGGGATCGGAGGAGGAGAGGAGAGGAAGTGGTGGTGACAGACACAAGAGAAGAAGAAGATGATGAAAAGAGATGGGGAGGATGCAGCACCAGCACAGGCGGCGGCTGGAGTTTGAGCAGCAGCAGCAGCAGCAGGAGCGCAGCTGAGGCTGAGGCGCTGAGCCAAGAAAGCAGCTGCAACCGCTTCCAGTTCTCCCTGACTCTCCCAGCCCAGCCAGCCGCCAGCAGGCTCAGTCGCCCAAGCAGCAAGCACCAAAGCGATCGAGCTGCGCTCCGTCCGTGCTGGTCCCCTCGCCTCGACTACACCTCCTCTCTCTGATCCATCCACCCAATTCGGCAGCTCCGCCGCCACCCTAGCTAGCTCTCACTCACTAGCAGCTAGCGACTGAAGCTGAAGGCCGGATCGATCGGAGCAGGGAGATCGAGTCGAGCAGCCGGCGGGCGGCCATGGAGGACACGCTCAAGTCGCTGTCCATGGACTACCTCAACCTGCTCATCAACGGGCAGGCCTTCAGCGACGTCACGTTCAACGTGGAGGGCCGCCTGGTGCACGCGCACCGCTGCATCCTGGCGGCGCGCAGCCTCTTCTTCCGCAAGTTCTTCTGCGGCGCCGCGGCCGCCGACCAGGCCGCCGCCGCGCCCGGCGCGCTGCTGCTGGACCACCTCAGCCCGCGCTCCCCGTCCTCCTCCTCCTCCTCCCCGCGCGGCGGCGGCGCGGGGGCCTCCGCGGCCGCGGCCGCAGCCGCCGCCGCGGCGCCGGGCGCCGTCATACCCGTCAACTCCGTCAGCTACGAGGTGTTCCTGCTGCTGCTGCAGTTCCTCTACAGCGGCCAGGTGTCCCTGGTGCCGCAGAAGGGGGAGCCCCGGCCGGGATGCGGCGAGCGCGCGTGCTGGCACACGCACTGCGCCGCCGCCGTCGACCTCGCGCTCGACACCCTCGCCGCCGCACGCTCCTTCGGCGTCGAGGAGCTCGCGCTCCTCACCCAGGTAACCAATTCGAGCATCTATCTCCCTCGCTCCCCTCCCTCCCAACTGCAATTCTTGACTTTCTTGTTTCGATTTCTTCTCCATTCCCGATGCTCCTGTTCTTCTTCTTCCTCCTCCGAAGGAAAGATATATATAAATAATTATTAATTTAAAAAGAGAACGGAAAAAAAAAAGCAACGACATCGATTTCTTGCTTCCAATTTATTTTTCGCGTCTGCTGCTCGAGGGAATTGAGGATTGTGGGGATCAAGATGGGAGTTGGAGTTGGTTATGTTGGGATTGCCGAGCATTCTGCAGCATTGATTTGATCTCTGTACCCCCTCCTGCTTCCGCTCCGCCGTCCGCCCTTTTTAAATGAAGTGAAGGATGATGAGTCGGAGCAGCAACAGGCAGGCACTCAGGCAGTGGTCGGCCATCGTCGCCGTCGCCGCCCTGCGCACGCGTGCGTACCTGTGCGCTCCTTGCTTTCTTCCCTCTCTTTGTCCATCCATCATCCATCCATCTTTCTGTCCGTTCGTCCGTTCGTCGGCCTGCGGCTGCGGCTGCCGCGCTTTCTCCTTTCGCTCTTAGGGTTCGTTGCACGGAGATCTCTCTTTATCTTTCCGCCACTGTAGGAGAGCTGGAGAGGAGGCATAGCCCTGCCATCGTCTTCTTTTCTCTCTCTCTCTACCGCATCCGAAACGCCATCCCACGCACACCACTGTTGCAGCGCAAGCAGCACGGATCGATAGAGGATGGCTTTGCCTTTCCGTCGTGCAGTGCAACTGCAACTACAAGCCTGCGCAATTTGCTAGCATGCATCCTGCTGTCAGCTGGAAAGAAAGAAAAAAAAAGACACCTCTTTTAGTTTTCCCCTGATTTGTGATTTGCAATTTCTGTCTAGGGTTTCGTCATGCTGGGCTGGGTCTCTCCAATACGGCAATACCTAGTCTTAGTTGTTTAATTGCCTCTCCTCCTTTGGTTTTTCCCCCAAAACTTTGCTCCCCCAATCAGCACCATGATGCTCCCATACTGTTGCACCCCTTCTCTATATTTTATGCACAGGGCCAATCCACTCACACTCACTATATATGCTGATGCTTATCTGAGGGAGGGATTCCTCTCGTCTCGTCTCTCTTCCCTTTATATGCCATTGCCACCGCACCGCATGCTGTGTGCTCCATGCCTGTGTGCTTTTGCAATGCGCTGCTACTTACCAGCAGTGAGTGACTCACACTGACAGATGAAGAATACAATTCATTCGTTCCATTGTTGTCGCGCCTGCTTGCAGAAGCAGCTGGCCGGCATGGTGGAGAAGGCGTCGATCGAGGACGTGATGAAGGTGCTCATGGCGTCGCGGAAGCAGGACCTGCACCAGCTGTGGACCACGTGCTCCCACCTCGTCGCCAAGTCCGGGCTTCCCCCGGAGGTGCTGGCCAAGCACCTCCCCATTGACGTGGTGGCCAAGATCGACGAGCTCCGCCTCAAGTCCTCGCTGTCCCGCCGCTCGCCGTTCCTCGCGCACCACCACCCGCACCATCCGGCGTCGGGCGGCATGGAGGCCTCGTCCGCGGCTGACATCGACGACCACCACAAGATCCGCCGCATGCGCCGCGCGCTCGACTCCTCCGACGTCGAGCTCGTCAAGCTCATGGTCATGGGGGAAGGGCTCAACCTGGACGAGGCGCTCGCACTGCACTATGCCGTGGAGAACTGCAGCCGGGAGGTCGTCAAGGCGCTGCTGGAGCTCGGCGCCGCCGACGTCAACCACCCCGCGGGCCCCGCCGGGAAGACGCCGCTCCACGTCGCGGCCGAGATGGTCTGCCCGGACATGGTCGCCGTGCTGCTCGACCACCACGCCGACCCCAACGTGCGCACCGTCGAGGGCGTCACGCCGCTCGACATCCTCCGCACGCTCACCTCCGACTTCCTCTTCAAGGGCGCCGTGCCGGGGCTCGCGCACATCGAGCCCAACAAGCTCCGGCTCTGCCTCGAGCTCGTGCAGTCGGCGGCCATGGTCATGTCCCGCGAGGACGCGCACACGGCCGCCGCGGCGGTCAACGCCGCGCCCATGTACGGCGAGCCCTCCGGCGGCGCCGGCGGCCCCGTGTACAATGCGAGCGGCACCAGCTCGAGCATGGTGAACCTCAGCCTGGACAACAGGATGGTGTACCTGAACCTAGGGATGGACGCGCAGTTCGGCAAGATGGGCGACGGCGATGACGGCGGGAGCAGAGGGCAAGGGGGCCCGTCTTCTTTGTTCTCCCCGCATGGCTACCATTGACAAGCTGGAGCGGCGGCTGCTCTACTATCTCCTTGTAAGCTTAGAACTAATTAATTACAAGTTATTCATATCCACATTACAGGAGATGATGATGATGGTCAGATAATCCTTTTGCCCTCTATCTATCATCCTCTGACTCTTTTAGCAGAGACGATTAGAGAGAGAGATCATGCATGCAAAGTGATTCATCATCACAAGAGTATGGATCTTGGTGAGTTGTTGTCTAGTAGTTGTAGCAGTTCTATTGGTGGGGGTGTTGTTTTGGAAATTCTAAGAGATGTTTAAGAGGTACTTAAAACTGTTTTTTGTTGGTGGTTACTGGTGATGCATACAGAAGAAAGCTTGACTTGACAGTATGCATCTTTGCCTGGACTACATATATATATTTTCCCCCTGTTTTTTTTTTCCTTTTTCTCTCAAAAAAACTCATACCATTTCATAAAATGTTTTCTCTTCTAGAGGCATGCATATCTATCCAATTTGGCTAAATTGAATTACCTTTCTTTTTTATTAGGCTGATCATGAGACTCTTAATTAGCTAGGTACCATAGTGTTTTCCTTAAAAGACTAAAATTTTAGCCAACATGCAAACAAGGAAAACTGCTAGTAAACTCAAGTTTATGTATTATCTACAACTAATTAAACTTTATTACATGTACATATTGAACCAAATTACTTTTTGCAGCTACTATATAAATATGGTCTTTTATTTGTGGGTACATGTATGTGTGTGCCCTTTTTACTGTGAATGAGTGAACATGCATGCAAAGTAAAGGAAGCTTTTTATGACAAGGGCCGGGGGAAATCCGGCCAATTGCTGCTTTCAACTGTTGAACTGTTGATAGGGTTGTTGTCAAATTAAATATTTTTGGTGGTATTTAGTTGCGGCCCAAATTAAATTTGGTTTTTTGGTGAGTATAGATGAAAAGGGCAGCTAGAAGCAAGCGCCGCTGAGGCCGGGGGGGGGGTACACAAACACACGCATGTGGGGGATATGAAGAGGGAGACAACGGGAATCTACCTTGAGCTGTGAATGATGGAAGCGATCGATGCCGGTCAATGGTTTAACCCCACGACCCCTCCCCGTTTGTTCTTAATTATTGCAATCCTCGTCTCCTTCTATACATCTTAGCTTTGTTTGGCACAGCTCCAGTTCCTTACTGCGGTGCGTGAAAAAATCAGAGTTGTGGTAAAGCTAAAGAATAGTGGTTTTTCATTGGTTCTTATTCACTTTAGAAACCGGGATAAAACATCTTTTTTGCTACAGTGCATAGAGGAGCGGGACCGTCTAAAGCTCCACGAAAATGAGTCTTAGGTCGTGTTTTGCATGGCTCCGCGTCCGCATGCTCCTTGCCAGAGCCGGAGGCTAGAGCTGCAAATCGTGGCTCCGCTTAAAAAAAGAGCTTCGCCTCCTCAAACACACAGAAGCTGGAGTTGCCGCCGGAGCGCCACCAAATAGGCTCTGAACATTTTTCTTGCAACCTATAGTTGTATTTTTCTTGCCATGTATAAGTATGTGTGTGTAGTGCCTACCATACCTAGTACGCATAAGTGAGTGTATGTGAGAGAGCCGAGTATTTGGCTTGTTTTTTATGCGAATGAACATAATAAAACTACCTCAACTGCTGCAATGGGTGAGAGAGGTGAGTAGCTGTTGTATGCTCCCCCTTCTCTCTCTGTTTTTTTTTTTAACTTTGGGGTGCGTGGAGGGGAAAGAACTGTACTGTATGTCCCCTCTCTTGCGCCATAATCTCTCCTAGACGAACAGTGCGTCACTATTGCATGTAGCATTGGTTATGAGAGATCGCCAGTAATCTCTCTCCTTTCTCTCTCTCTCTCTCTCTCCGACCCCAGCTGCCCAGCTGGGTTGTCTCTCTCTCTCTAGTGTAGCTGCTAGTGCAACGCTAGCTTTCCATGAGACATTGCCTATATCTATCTTTATGGCCCAATAGTGCCTGGGCTCACACGCTGCCAGGAAACTAGTGGGGTTTGCACAGCTGTGGACAAACGGATCCCTTGTCTTGCATGTTGCATGAGTGCAACGACACTGAGCGTGACTAAACACGACGCATGCACACAGACACACACACCACTGCAAGACTGCATCCGTGTACATGTGCGTGCATGCTGCATTCTAGCTATATTGTACATACATCATGTACACCTCTACACCCCCCCCCCCTCTCTCCATATACACACTGTTGTTAATTACAGAGAGAACTTCGTCCGGCCCTGTTATTCCTGATTTCCTGTGCGGCATCTTTCTCTTCGCTCTGTTCGCTTGTCTTATAAGTCATACTTTTTCAGCCAACGAACAGTATTTTTATCTCACAACAAATCAGCCAATAGTACTTTCAGCCATAGCTTATCAGCCAAACGAACAGAGCAACTTATCTTTGGCTCACGCCTTTACTATCCATTTATGTTGTGGTTTCTTTATAAAGCTCATGATCTCTCCCTCTCTCTCGCGCACCGGTAAAGTTGCATTGGTGTTTGACTACCTTCTGCATCCTCCAAAAACTAACAATTTATTTAGACCAAGAGATATTAGGTGTGCGCGTGCTGCGTACGTTGTATGATGTTGTACATATATTATCATAATACACTGTCACTTGTATAGCTAGATTAGTTAAGATCGATATTGGCCCTGTTCGTTTCGCTGGAAAAACAAGCTAAAACACTGTTTCGGCTGATTTGTTGTGAGAGAAAAACGTGGTTCCGATGGAAAAAAAAAAGCTAAAAAGTACGGATCATAAGAGAAACGAACAGAGCCATTATTAGGGTACGGGTGTTTTGTGCGTATGTACGAATCCATGAATAAATAAAGCCCATAGGCATGCGCATAGGTTCACAAAACAAAACCATACTCATTCATGCTTAACACTATGCTAATTTGTAACCTAGCAGCTTGCTGCTATAAGATAGCACAAGAGGGGCCTTTCAGAATCGACTAAGATAGTGTGATGGAGAATCTGCTAGAAAGGATTATCGCGTTGTTTCCTAACCAAAACACTTATCTTTGTACTTTTCCTTATTTTGTACTTTCTATACTGCCTCATTTGTGTGATCTGCTGTCCGCATTTGAGAACATCCCTTTATTATATTTCTTCGCTATATATATTATAGGTTTTCAGTACGTCCCTACATGGTGACCAGTGAGGTTGTATATATATAACATTTTTTGTCGTCGCAACTTTTATGTAACAACAAACCTGAACGTTTCTGAATATATGCATATTTTGAAGATTCTATGATATGCTCATCTGGAGTAGGTATCAAATTTTAACCCGAAAGTATACAAATGCATGTGACTAGCTAGCCAGTATAGCAAAAAAAAAAAAAAAAGGTGGACGGATGTATTCACAGCACCGCCGTATGTTTCACACGCAGAAAAATATTTGAGATTATAGTTTTCTTTGTTCTTGTACCTTTGGGAGTTATACTTTATATTTCCTACATTTTTATGTGGGACGAACAATGCATTTCAAAAGGGCATTATATAAACTAATATTGCTCAATGTTAATTAATACATTGATTTTATACAAGCTAGGTATTTCAAATGTAATTGTGCTTTAACATGTTCAAGTCTTATATCAGACTTTTCTAAAATAATCTATATATACTATAAATATTAAGTGTGTGGTGATCATATGTGGGCAGAAATTAATAAGAGGTAAATACATCATTGGCCCATGAACTTGTCACCGTGTGCCACTTAGGTCTATGAACTTTGAAATTGCATTTTTAAGTCCTTAAAGTTGTTCCTTGCCTACGTGGAATGAACAACTTGGACACTGGGACGTTAACACATGATAGTGGGAAGTGCTGGGAGGCGCGGGAAGACAGCCGCTGGGGAGGCATGGGTGGCACTAGGGTGCGGTGAGACCGAGGATGGCGAGGAGTGCCTGGTCAAGGGCAGCACGGCTCGAGGGCAATGGTGGTGGGGCTAAGTGGGGCACGAGGCCCGTAGAGCCTAAGGGGCACTGACACGGGACGAAGACGTGTGCCGAGGCATGTTGTGGTCACGGCGGCTATGTGATGGCTCGGTGGAGCAGATGCAGCGGGGGAGAAAGAGGAAGAAGGTGTGGGCATTGGCTTACATGCATGTGGTCCCCTTGACTAACGACATATAGAAAACATCATCCATCCCATGTAGTCCAATCCCTCCCACAAAACAATAAGTTGGAACGGTCTCATTCCTTTTCAACCAAATAAGAGTTATTGGGACGATCCCATCTTAAAAATCAGGGACATATTCATTCTATCCCATGTCGTCTCCAAACCAAATTGCTATGTAAAATTAATGAGACATAGCTTTGGTCGATCGGATCAGTAGCGCTTCTAATTAAGTGGCTACCGTAAAGAGTAAGCAGGCATTATTTGTTGAATATGCAGTTTCTACTGTCCTCATTCCTATTCAACCAAATAATTTTCAGTTGGTTGGATTCATTTTAAAATCACTTGACATTTTTGTTTTGGTGTCGATATAACATGTCGCCTCCAAACCAGGCGTGTAGGTTCATGGAATGTAACAACCGCCATTTGAGAAAAATAGCTTTGGCATATCTATACAGTAGCGCTTCTAATTCCCCGGTTACCGTCGCAAAGAGAGTACCTCATTAAATTCTTGATGAATATGCAGTTTCTACTGTCCCCACAACGTTGGGTAATAAGTGAGAAGTATCTTTTCATTTGGTTGGTGTTCTTTTTATAGTTTTTTATCACTTGATAATTTTTGTTTTGGTGTCGATATAACTTGATACGTGCAAATACCGACAAGCGCAGGCGTGTAGGTTCATCAGGGAAGCGTACGTCAACCGCCATTTGTTCTCTAGCGTGGACCACGGACCACCTCATCATGATCATGGCATGGGCACAGCGGCCCGGCCCACCACGCCTCCCTAACGTGGGGGACACGGGCCAAAATGGTCCCCGCCAAATGTTATGGTCGAAATGGACAGGACCTCAATTAAATTCTCCTGGAAGTTAACGAACAGTA